CAAAGAGTACGCCTTTCAGAATATGACTGAGGATAGGAAAAAATGCCAAAATCTCCTATAAGATAGTCTAATTCCCCAGTTTTTACATATTTAAGCTGCGGTGCATTTGGTTGCCATGTAATGCTTCAACGATGTACTACACTTTTGATCACTTATCAAGAAAATGCTTTTTTTTGTAGACTGTTGACTGATACAACACTTCCTAGTTGTCCGCATAAAGATTTTAATGTCCTACAACACTTCCTAATAGTCCGGATAAAAATCTGAGGTTCTCATAGCATGACAAAACTCTTTTTACCACCTAGTCATTGTTTCTAGCATTGTTGTGGGTACACATGCTCCTAAGATTCCATTGTGTAGTCCCTCTCCGTCTATGTGCGGAAGTCTACTTAAGCTGACCAAACAGTGAAGACGCAGTTAACATGGATTTTATCTTCGCATATAGAAACTGTGGCCATACTGACCTTATCTCCCATCATTACGTGTTTTCGCTTCCAAAGTTGCGCTTTGCAGCCAGCTGAGCATGACATCACTTTTTCACCATTACAGGTGCATTTTCAGTAGACTAATGTCAGACATCGCTAAGTGTGCACCATTTCAGCCCACATTTTCTTTGCCGCTACTTGTAAATTCTTCGCCGCACAACAACGCTACAGCGGTTAGCTCCAAATGCGAACTTCAGTAATTCTAAAGGCAATGACAATAACCTCTTTTCTCATCGCAATCGTTTCTAAGGTGTTCATCCATTATTTTATGAAAATAAGTATCAAGCTTTTTGCAATTTTACTACTTGCAAGTGCAACTACAGTTGCCTGCGTTCTCATTTATAATCATCTTCTTATAGACAGTAAGCTTCTCTCGTTTACTCATTTACTGTTGGAAAATGTAATAAAGCAATGCAGACAGGTGAGTGATTAGATCCTCCCTCACTACTTCATCATTTTTATGTAAATTATAGATTTGCAACAAAACTAAATTCAAAGGAAAAAGTAAATATTGAATTGAAAGAATTATTGAGTGAAATCAAGCATGGAGATGGCATATTCATCGAGTTGCACTCCGAATTTCTAGTTTTTTATTACCAATTTCGCAGTTTTCTGATGTTTCTGAAATATTCAAGAGAACCGAGTGCTGAGTAAATTTGCGGCCTCAGACAGGAGTCGATCCACCGTTTCATCCATACTGGGGACGCGTAGAACCACTACAGCACCGAGGTGCATTAGGTCCACCACTCATTCTTCAGCATCTCTATGTTAACTGTCAGCCACCAACGTTTCGTCAGAGGTCGTAATCTTGCTGACCACTCGATTCTCTAAGATGTGTCGAGTTATATTTACTTATCTTCTATGCTCCCTCATCATAGTCTTAAATCGGATTCAGTTCTGAGGGCTGAAAGTGGAAACACTTGCCACACAACATTCGCTGATGCGATTTTGGGAGCGGAGTTAGGAATTCTTGCTAAACAATGAATGCCGACATTTCAAAATGATTTTCATCAATGAGGTCCAAATAATACAATCAATATATGGATATATTACAGCTTTCTATTTGATATAAAGGAAAGAAAAGAGAGACGATCCACTCTCTCCAAGTTCTGAACAACGCCAAACTGTCGAAAAGTCGGCTGCTTCCGTAAATCGTGTAATCTAGAGCATAAAGCTCTCGGCTGTGATCAATTCTTGAGGAATGTGATATGCATTCGTCTTCAAATGTTGACTTCGTTTGAGGTGATTGGATGGATATTTAGCATTTATAGTGACCAGCAGCCACTGAGCAGGACATCACTTTGTCACCATTAAAAGTTCATTTTCCAAACAAGCTTAATAGATTGTCAGCTTTGAAATGAATAATTTAGATTTCCATAAATTTCCTGATCGCTAATGTTCGTGAGGAATTATAGCTCACTTATTCAAATTTCCAACTCCGAACGTGGATATATTGATACCTTACTGTGAAACTCGTTATGACTTCAAATGTTCGTTCTTGCCGAATGTTGTGAGGTTCAACGGAAATTAAACAAATTTTGAACCATTTTTGTGCATCTGTGTCACTTGTCTTGAGAGATCGTACTCTGAAAGTGCATCTAAACTGAGCGCCTCTAGCGGAGGTCTATGTTAGGGAGAATGTAGTATGTTGCTGGAATAAGTGCCTGAAGAATGGGTGTTCATCATTGCGGAAGTTATTGTAGTTCTATCAGCACCATATTCAAAAAAAAGTATTTGCTCTTTCCAGGCATTTGAGCAGTCATTCTACCGCGTTAACCTTGGAAATTTGGAATGGGCATTTCATTTTTTTTTGAAAGGTCTTTATATTCAGCTGAAGTAGTTAAAGGGAAATGTTATTTCACACTCAAGCATTTTCTGATTAGCAAACTTGTTTCTCAAAGAATTCGGTAGTTTTTTAAAAGCGCAAATTTCGAAAAATTTAATAGTGCTACTGACTCCTTAAAAAAAAGACTTTTGTTGCGCTGTGACACTGAAATTAGGATGCATTTCACATGCGGCTCGTATGCCTATCGGTATGTGAGTTTTGCAACATTCGCATCGGCGCCATCCTTAATTAACCAGTCAATAGCTCAAGGCTCGAGGATTTAATCTGTTGCTTGCTTTTTGAGGGAATCTCTTAGCGGGCCGGTGTAGTGAGAACAAAGTTGTGTTCCACATTTGAGTACTTTCCGCTGGTCGCAGCTTCTCTCTCAGATCTTAAATAGCCATTCGATAGCGCGAACTTCAGCAATTTAAATGATATGCTAAAATTGAAAAAAATTTCTTAGTGCGTTGTTAGAGCTAAAAGAATATTAAGTTGAGCGCTCGGTGCCGTGTCGATCGCGCAGCGTATTTCACATGTGGCATGCGATATGCGCCATACGCGCCGAGTGCGGAACCTAATATTCTTTCAGCTGTGGCAACGCACTGAGGAATCCTTGTTAAAATCAGACATTATCGAAATTGCAGAGATTTGTGCTATCGAATGGTTGTTGAAAGTCTGAGTGAAAGGCTGTGACAGCCGAAAAGTATTCAAAGGTGCAACACAATTCTAATTTTGGTGCTACTACTAGTTAAGAGATTTCTTCACAAAAATCGTGCCCGCCATTGAAACCCTCGAGATTTAAGGTATCGATCAGCTACTGAAGGCGATAGCTTGATGCCAGTGTTGCGAAGTTCATTCACATACTGGTGCAAAATATGCGTGCCGCATGTGAAATGCAGTCTCAAATTCAATTTTACACCGCAATAAAAAAATATGAGTGTGAAATTAAGCTTCATTTCTACCATTATAACGTAATATAAAGGCCTTTCAAAAAATTGAATACACCGTTCAAATTCTCGAGATTTAAGCTTTAATGATTGCTAAAATGTCTAGATAGAGCAAAAAAAACACGTCTTCTTGAATACTGCTACGGATGAAGGAAAAGTACCAAACACTTCTTTAGAGAGACATATTTCTGACGATTGAAATATTTCTATTCCAGTATTAATTCCAATTTTTCCGACTCAGTCACGATTGTCCCTCCATGCTCGAAAATATCCCACTATCCATCAGTTCTCAACTTTTCCTCACATACATCAACTCAAAATAATTGAAAATAAACGAATCTAATATAAATTTTATTATAGTTAGGGCTACTGATGAACTGGTGTCGAACGAGCATGCATCATCAAATTTGGCAAAACACTCATTGTTTTGAATTTTTATTCACTGCGAAGGATTTTGGGTTTTGCAAAAAATTGGGAAAACTCGAAACTGATAACATTTTTTATCACGCTGTCCGTACAATTCATTACAATTGATTGATTGCCAACTTCGGTATGATTGCGTATTTAATCAGCATTTTTTCTATACAAAACGCATCATCTAAATCAAAAGCATTCGAGCGAGTAGAGAAAATCTTGTTCCATCAAAGTTGTACAAGAATTACAAAAATTTTGCAAAACGAAGGAAAACCTTGATCAATCAACGAGAATCGCGCACAGCTGCGCAATTCGCTTTGCGCTCTTTGACTTCTATAGCCGTCTTTTACGAGTTAAAGTCATGGTCACAGTTTGCTCATATTCTCCGTATCATTTAAGTTGGATACTGAACGTTCTTCTTTTAGAACCTCGAAGGACCATCTCTACTACCGCTGCAAGAAATGTGGTGATCAGTTTTACTTTTTGGGCATGACATCAACATGCCGTTGCAGAAAAACTGGAAGACAAAGCGTACGTTTATCATTGCCACTAAATCTGATGTTTCCAATTAGAGCGTCTTTAGGAATGCGTTGCAATTACGCGGCAGTGGTCACAGGAAGCTGTTCAGCGCGATGTTGAATTCTTCAACTTCGTGGAGCGGCACGCTGTTCCTGTACTCGTAGCCGAGAAAGTGAAACAGTTTGGGGAAAGGGTCATGTTGTCAACACCGGAGAGGAATGCGGAAGGTGAGTGAGCGATTATGAAGGGTAAAATGACATCTGAACTGTTCATAGGGATCCGCTATGGCGTCCGTATTGCTCAAGTTGCTTGAACGTTCTACCATAATAGAATTCTTTTTATCTAACCGCTTCTAGCGGTGGTATGAAATTTTCGAATATACTCTTTGATGCAGAGTGGTGTGCAAAACTTTCGAGTCAAATGTGGTTCAATCCACATCTCAGTCTGTACAGGAGCGCGTGCTCCAAACCGTTTTACTATGACGCCCATTTTGCGCACCAATCTTTTTACGCTGCAACGCATCTATTTGTCAGCCGCCAACAGTCAACGGCCTGGCCCGTGTAGTAGGTATGGACATTGAACCCCAGTCACGCTGAGGGATATTTGGCACATCACTCTACATCAAAAGGTGTATTTGAAAAATTCATATTGCCGTTAGAACCGGTTAAATCAAAAGAATTTCATTCGATCATCAAAATCCATTATCTGTCAGCGTGACTGGGTTCAATATCGATACAGGGCCAGGCCGTTGACGGTTGGTGGATGACAGATAGATATGTTGTAGCGTAGAAAGAGTAGTGTACAAAATGGGCGTCCTTAGTGTAACGGGTTAGAGCACGCGCTCCCGAAAAGAGTGAGATCTGGGTTCGAGTCCCGCCTGACGCAAAAGTTTTGCACATCACTCTACCTTAAGGGGTTCTACCTTATTAGCACTTTTCCGACGTTGGCGTGATGAAATTTTAGCTGAACCAGCGGAATGGGGCTCAGCCAACGGCATCACGTGTATTTCACAAAACTATTAACCACTGCGCTGCACTTTAACCTTTCTATAATCAGTAGTGGAAGCCTAGAAGTCCAAATGTGTTTTAGTGTTCGCGATAGAGAAATTTTTTTATACTTCAAACTAAAGGCATGAGATATCTCTTATTTGAACTGCAGAGAATAATTCCAGTGTCTATGATTAGTTGTCACTTCTTGGCATTCTGTGATCGAGACAATTCAGAGTTCAACACAAGCATGACGAGATCACCATTGATGTATGATGATGGCACGCCCACGACTTTTGTCATAGATGACGATGAAGAGTCAAATGCGTAAGTTCAAAGTTACTGTGCAATCATTTTTGGAAAGTAGTAGCTTCAAAAGAAATGGTTCAAGGTTAACAAATACGAAAAGTAGAATGGTTCACAGTCTTTCGTTCATAAGTCTCAAACATGAGGTTATTCAACACATTATGCTGACGTTTTGGCGGCTTCGACATTTCAGAAGCGATAGATCGGTCACAACCCAGCCAGAAAAACGCTTCGCTTATTTCATTGAAGACTACCAGAGCTAGAACTGCATCGAGCACAAAATAGTTTTTCAGTATACTCACCTTTTCTAATAAGCATTTTACCCGAATACTGTGATACATCACGTGTGAAAAAGAGGCATGCTTCCCTGCGGTTTATGCTGATATAGTCGATCCACAATGCTTATAAATTCTTACTCACTATAAAAGAAGTTCAGTGGTTTATGCTGTCAATTTAGTAGTTAGTTTGGTAGCTAACGTGCTAGAATCTTGGCTTGGTTTAGTTGCCAGAGGTTGAGTGTTGCACCCTAAATGGGCGTTGAATGTACGAGAGTGCTGACTTTCCCTATCACGCGGAATCTAGTGACAGAAGATCAAGGCCGTTGAATGATGATGAATTTATACCAATAACGATTAACGCATAATATAGAATAAGTGCATCCGAATTAATGGAAATACAACGACTTGTAACGAAATGATTACGGTATATGATTGTGCAATCAGTTTGAGCGAGTGTATGACTCCTCGAGCCCCAGATTCACATCTGCACAATACATAAAGCAATGACGACTCTTTCCGATCAGAAGGGAACAAACGAAGAACTGACGTCATTCGCTAGAGTAACCTCACATAGGAGTCATAGTAACCTGTTGCATCCATATCAAAAACTATTTTTCATACTCGCCTTTCGCCTACATTTTTATCACGTGTACATTTCGCTGGAAGCCGTTAAGCAAATCAGTGTGCGAAGAAATTCTCGTAATGTCTTAGTCTATAGTTTTATCTAGAGTCTCTCTCAAAACCGTGGGAAAAATCCCAATTGACTAGTAAAGTAGCGATCGTCCCACCTCGATCCGCCTCTAAGACGCTCCCTACCGCGGCCCTCGCCTTGTCGAGTAGCCTGTAAGCAACGTTAGCAAACAATGTAGCACCCGATCTTACTTTCCTTGACAAACCGTATCTCCAGAAAATAGGTACATGGCTAGAATCAGAAAACATTACGCTATCAGATGAATTCCAATAGTCTAGAGAAAGAGCCCTGTCCGGCAAGTTTTGAAGAACAGTTAAAAAAACCAGGGGAGATCAGGAAATTAGAATAGCTTTTTGAAAAGTAAACTGATTTCCGGGTTTTTTGAAGATTGTACTATAGTTTGAGCTATAGCACTCTAAGGAAGTAGTTTCCTCTAGCGAAATCTAGGCGATATAAGAGAAAAACATGTGGATCTACGAAACATAATATTATTTCGGATCTTACAGCGCCAAAAATAGTGTTTTGCAAATCCGATTCCATAGAACTTTATCCAGAAATTCAAGCTTTCGAACAATCACGGCACTCCTATGAAAAGTTTTTTCCATCCAATGAATCGATTTTTCATTTGTTCCCTCTTAATGAGAAGGAACCGTGGTAACCTTACACGGATTTAAAACACACGGCGAGATGAACAATGTTAATTTATGCAGGTGACATAGTGAAGCAATAAAGGTGGATGGCGCGGCCAGGTTCCAAGTGGCGTCGTTGTTAAACTATCGCAAAATGACGCTGCTGTGGCCTATTTCCCAGTTATTCTACAGATGTTATTCTGTGAATAGAATACAAACGCAGTACGGGCCAACTGAGAGGCGAAAAACACGAGCCAGCTGCCATGGCTCATCTACGGATGTGCCGAGACGAAGTAGACAGTTGGTCATGAGTATGCGAGATAAGAAGATAGTTGTAGTTTGGAGTACAACTTCCAAGGTTTCATACTTCTGCACCAAGATGGTGAATTCCACCTCAGATTCCTCACCGATAAGTGTCTGCGTTCAGCGCGAGCCCAATGGTAAATTGGTTTGATTCCATACTTTCACATCAAACATACTTCTATGCGGACACCGAGTAGATCACACGTTTGCCGATGTGTCCGCCCTCACACGCTCATAAAGGATTTGGTAAACGCTGCCCATACGTGCAATCACCGTCTTTACCGTTTAGGTATATTATGCATTCTTGCGCTGGACATAGGCAATCGAAGCGGTTGCTCACTAGCTGGTGCTTTATAGTTTCTGGTAATTTTCAGTCACTGTTACCAATTTTCCAAACCTGCGCTTCTCAGATGGAGTCCGATTTTTGTTCTTTGTTTTTGTGAAATTATCGTCCCGAGGCGCGTAATTTCTTTTGAAACTTATTCAAAGGAACGTGTCTTTTTATGACCTCTGACAATGGTTGTTTTTCGAACTGAATTCAAGAGCCCTACTTCTTTTCTCTTCTTGTACCAACAGTAACTACCGTTTAGAACACGTTTTTCAAAGGCGCCCTTTGAGTATCCGAAGACGAGAGGGGAGATAATATCACTAGTACATCTTTAATGAATCAATATTAAAATGAATGTAACGTGAACGATGTTCATCAAGAGCGGATGGGTTTTGAATGTTTTATGCAAGCTGAATAAAACGAACATCTCCGAATACTCCAGTTACGTCTGTCGAGACCTTAAAGTCAACATGGTAGACAACCTAGCTCCAGAGTTGAGCAAGAGCAAATGAGCGTCTCGAGGATCGTCTAAGAACACCAAGGGCACAATGAAGAGGACAAAGAATTTTCATCTGCGTGCCCATCTTTTCGAGTAAACGGTTATCCTCGCCCTAACGTATGCAACCGAAGCCTGGTCGCTACTCAAGCTGAATGGAGAATCACTTGGCGTTATTGAGCGCGCAATCGTGTGATCGATGCTAGGAGTATCCCGTATGTCGCAAGTGAGGAAGAAATCCAAATTTCTGACCCACGCAAGCGATCGAAGGACATATATTCGCTCCACACGCCAAGCTATCGAAGGTGAGGCGGGCCGGCCACATATTGAGCTATAACGACAAGCGATGGACAAGAACCGTTACCAACTGTAATCCTGAGGATGCCAAGCGCTCCAAAGGTAGACCATCGGCCTGATGTTTTGATTTCTTCACGAAAAGCCAAAAAAGCGAGGAGTACCTACTGGCTATTCTTTCATGCGATAGAGAAAACGGAAGTATTGCTGGTGTCCGCAATTTAGCAACGTAGCCTTATTCGAGTAGTTCATTTTGCATAGTTGGTGTAAGATAGCACTCAGTTGGAAAACTCAACAGCAAATCATATTTCTCACCAGGCTCATATAGGAGGGAGGCGCGTAACGGAAAATTTCGGAGTTAAAGTCTCCGTTCTAGTGCAGGACATGAAGCCATAACGCGTAAGATTGGAAGCATTTTGGACGAAGCAATAAGTCCAAGCAGAACAGCAGGAGGAATGCGTCATCACACGCTATGTGGCTCAGTATATAAGACTGTTATTTTGATGAGCGATACCCATCACCGGGCTGCCTTTTTCTGTGCAACTGGTCTCTACTTTTGCAGCTTAATTAAGAACAATAAAACATGTTGCAATGTTGCTTTCTCCCCGACGCACTTGAAATCTAAGCTGGGTGGTTTCTTCTGATCAAGTAATCTAAGCGGTTAGCTGTTGCAGCCAGTCCAATCCTATAAAGCTTTGAAAAGGCGAATTTGTTGAAAGATCAGCTTTTATGATAGACTGTCTTGCAACAACCCCATATTCGGCTTACAAAGAAAAGAGATATAATAGAAAAAATAAGTAAAATTTTGGAGACTGCCTAGGTCAATAGATGGTCGATTCTGGGAATTATGAGAAGTGCATATTTATTTTAAGCAGCTCGTTTTTTTTTTTGAAGTTGCCTAACGAGTGTCCACTAAAATTTTTTGTCTTGATCGGGTAAGTCTTTAGTGCTACTTCGTTTAGTCAAAAAGTGGTAGAGGCGAGATATATGATTTCTAACCTGTGTATGGTAGTATACAACTAGTGCTGAAAATGTGACTTCTGACTTTATCACCAAATGGCCAAAGAATCTCGAGGTTATTCAAGAACATTCAAAGAACAATATTTGTATATGCAGGTCACAAAATGCTAGAGCAACGCCTAGCATGCATCCTAGTGGGTCAAGAAGCTTTCGTGCTACGGAGAATGTGTTCGGACAGGTGGTAAGGCGACCTCAAAAAGGTGAATGGAAATACTGAGTTATTGGTTGCTTATTGATTTCACTGAGATCACTATGTGGATCCTACCATGTTTTCCTTTTAAAAAGTTACTCTTCCGTGTTGTTTTCTGCGTTAATGAACTTTCCGGGTACAGGAGTTTCGTTCTCAACCGGATAATCATCAATAACTAATTGTTCTCCATCCACTCATTTTCTTTATGATTCCTTCCCGTGTGATCGCTCCTCACTCTCAAATGCCAAAATTCAATCTCTGCCTCAGCAACCCACCGAAGGTGGCACAAATATGAATTTGATGGCGTGTATAACAAAGCTGTGCTTTGCAGTGAGCTAGTTGATGGATTTATTCCTTTATAGAC